GGTCAGTAATATTTACATCTTTGAAAAAAATCAATACCTTTATTCAGCAAGGATGCATTCAGTTGATCAAATGTGACAGTAAAAATGTTTACATTGTCACATAAGGTCTACTTCAAAAAATGCTGTGCTCTAGAACTCTAAAAACAACGGTAGTCCACAAGATTTCCTTAAAAATTATTAAGCAGCACAACTGTTTTCAACATTAATAATATGTAAAGTTTCTTGAGCAGCAAATCAGCATATTAGAATGATTTCTGAAGGATCATGTGACACTGAAAACTTGCGTAATGGCTGTTGAAAATGTAGCTTTGCCATCACAGAAATAAATTATATTTTAGAAAAAATGTATTAAAGTAGAAAACATTCATTTTAATTTTTTATAATATTTCATAATAGTACTGTTTTTATTGCAGTCCTGGTGAGCATAAGAGACTCCTTTCAAAAACATTCAAAATGTTACCGACCCCAAACTTCTGAACAGTAGTGTGTATATATATATATAACAAGCAGGTCAGAGTTCAGTAAAGGATACTTCCATTCCACGATACTGATGCACGCCCTGCGGATGGGGTTTTTAAGAGTTAGGCAGAGAAGGGCTCGGGGTGGGCGCGTGGAGGCAGTGCTGGCCTGTTTCTTGGGTTTGGTGTAGTGCTGGCGTTTGCGCTGCGTGGAGCTCACAGTGGAGATCGGGGCTCCGGTGGTGCCCATCAGCTTGGCCTGCCGTGCCGCGTCGATGGCTGCCTGCCAGCTGATGGGGGCGCCAGGGGTGGGAATGTGTTCAGGTGCAAGACCCAGCACCCCACCCCCGCCCCCCACACGCTCGTCCTCATTCAGACTGGGGACTGGATCCAACGACGGACTGGAATAGTTGGAGCCTGTAGACGAAGAGAAGGAGACAGTGAATGAGAGAGTGTGAGAAAGTGGAGTTCTGTGATGTTTGGTTCTGTATTAATAAAGATTTTTTTGATGTCATATTTAAAATAGAGTTTTTTTTATCATACCTTCATTCACTTGACAACTTTTCTAATGCCTTTTAGGGTAGATTTGAAAAGCCAAAAAAATATATATATATATATTTAAATAAAAGATTTTGCTGTTTTACCCTTGTCCCAGACCCAGATTTTCAGTCATTTAAGAGAGTTTATTTTATAGAAGTCCACAGGGACAACAAAGCCCACAGCCAGATGGACAAGCAGTTATTAAAACAGTTTGTGTGCTTGTCACGTGTTGTACTTGTCCAATCAATGTTATTAAGCTTGTAAATATGCAAATAAGACCATCAAATCCATCCACAAATGGGTTTACAAATGTACAGTGTGAAATCTCAAAGCCTGGCAACCCAAGATTAAACACCCCTGGTATTTATATGTAATAACTCCTGGGTAAACAATTTCAGGTGTGAAAAGCCAATCAATGTTCTTTTATATTTTACATATTGGCATTCCAGTATAATCCTGGCCCATTGCAACAGCGTATTCATCACACATGGCAGCCCTGCAGGACTGTATCTCATCTCCATCTGCAGTCCAAGAGTGTAAAATCCAAAGAGAACTGTCCTACTGAAGTGTGTGTGTGTGTGTCAGGAATGAGAGACAGAGTGAGATCACAGTAATAAACCACAGAACGGAGAGTTTCTCCTATTCTGTACCCTCAGTTTTCTCTCTCCCCCTTCTCTTTTTAATAAATGGTTCAGCCCACTGAATAAGCCAAAATCTGGATTAGTGTGAAATGTCATGTCAGAATGACATCAGTGAGTTTGTCTATGATAAAATATCTTCTCCTATCCCAGTTTAATATGTAGTTTTTTTGTAGATTGATGCTGTGATGCTAGTGGTGCAGTAATCACATACTTTAGATGTCTTTTATATAAGAGAAAGCGCTGGGTTTTGATCATTAGGATTCAGTAAAGTATGTTATGAGAGTAAGAAGAGAACTGGAGAGTTGTTGTCTGTGTTATCTAACTCCTGTTAAATTATAGGAAGCCAAAGTGGGCTTTTCTCGATGACTCTTTTCTCCTAAAGCACCATTTCTAATTACCGTAGTAAAGCCATGCTCTGGATAAAGGACTTTCAAAAGGAAGAATCTCAGTTACTCATCCTAAAGTACCCACAATGGATTCACTCTCTTGAGAGATACTCTGACACTCATTTTTTCTAATTGAAAAAGAGCTATACATACACACACTTGTAAACTTGAATTCACATAAAGCAAAGACTAGGTGTCGAGGAAAATCACCAAATTTCAAATCCCGCATTCATTCACACAGATCAAATCTGCACCTCATGTAAACTTTCTAAAGTTTGAGCCATCAGCCACTAAAGCTGTTCGATTTGGAATCAATGAACTGAGATTTAATCAAATTCTGCAACTGCATCACCACTGACACCAGGGGATCCCCTTTCCCTCTGATCTGAGATCAGCAATGGCCTTCTCTCAGAGCTTTTCACTTCAAAAAAGGAAACATTCACATTGTATTTTAACTTGCAACTTCAATGAACATATATATATATACATAATATGAACAAAAGGATGACTGTAAAAAGTGAACTTTAGTGTAAGCAGCTATTAGTACTGGATGAGCAAGAAACTAGCCTGAAACAAATGGGGAGGGACTAAATGAGCTAGGGGAGGGGCTGATATATATTGGGGAGGGGCTAACGAAGATTAGGCAGAGGATAACTATAATTTGTTTCTAAAATATGGTGTTTTTGACCATATGCCACCATTTTCACTCCAGCAACTAAGCAAACACACACACATACCTCAGCATGTGTTAATCTAGTGCACTACATGGATGAGTGTATTTTAACACCACAGTCACACACACTCTCTCACATACTGTTTTATGAGTCAGCATCACCATTCATATATTCATCTCACCACACAAAAACACATACACCCGTTCACTCTCTCTCTCTCTGAGCTGTACAGTAAGAGCATTTTCACTGCAGCATCACAGCAGTGGATGATTTGACCACGACCGTACAAGAGAATAAAACATTACTGCTCTAATTTCTACTAGTTCATTCTGCTCTGGTTTCTTCCGCAGCCAGGCCATTTTGTCACAACACTAAGATAAAGACACATGTTAAACACTGTAAAAGAGGGTGTGATATTGTTTGGAGGTGTGGTTGAGAGGGTGAAATTAAGAGCTTGACTGATCAATGAGATTTGCTGCTTATAGAGGCGTGAAGTCACTTTCTGCTTTCTATGGTGATGCTTGAGCAGCGTTTGCATACTTTATCACAGATGAAGCGGATTAGATGCAATATTTTTGTCAAATACACAGACAACTGAGAAGGTTTTATGTAGCAACAGAAACACTTTTCATTCAATACTATATGTACTGCTTAAAGGGGTCATTAACAGCCTTTGTTTTTTATTTTGTACTGTTCTCTGAGGTCCACTTATAATGTTATCAAGATTTTTACATCAAAAAAACATAATTTAGAAGTAATAAATTATTTTCTGTCTTGTTTTTAACCCCCCTCATCAGAACGCTCTGTTTGAATAGGCGTGGTGGATTGTTGACTCGGAAGTAAATGCACACTGCTATGATTGGCTAATAGTTGTGTATGCTTGACAGGCTACATCCTTCACAGATGGACGCTGCTGTGTTTTAGGTTAAAAACGCATAAACACTCAGTACATATCAAACGATCTGTAATAACAGACCAAGCAATAGTGATCATGTAATGAAAACAGTTACTAACACTTGTGTGGTATGATATCACTGTCGGATCCAATATAGTCTGCAAAACATTGTCTTTTAGTTTCAATCTTTCTGAAAGTTCTGTGTCCAATTGTGCCATGTTTGTAAACAAATTAAGTAAATGAAGTAAACAAAGGACCAAGTTCTTACTGACATGGTCTGGCACTTCATTAAAAATTAAGTTCATCAAATAAAGTTTATCGTTTGGTTTCTGCATAGACCTGCGTTTGCCACTCTTGTCATTTACCTACTACGTGCTTGAAACGGTGGGCGGGGCTAAACAGGCACTGATGTAAAAGCAGGCGTTGATCTTCTTCTGCGGAGGCAGGGTTTAGCCACACTATTACGTCATAAAGTAGCACATTCCACAACCTGTCATCTTGGCAGATTAGCTTCAGTTTTTAGACTAACGAGAATGTTTTGGGTTCTGAAACTTACATGATGTTTTTTTATAGCACAATGACTTCTTATATATGTTATGCTAGAGAGCAGATGGCTCTGTATGCTTACTGCTTATGAAACGCTCTTGCAGTACTTCATGCTACACACATTCGATGTTATACACTGATTGGACTGCGCAGCGCCACTTCAAGTCGAAGTGTGATATAGTGTTGCGGTGTGGTTGAGCATACCATTGTTTGGGGGTGTGGTTAAGAGTATTAGTTCACACAGGCATGTTCAAATATGCATAATTCCCTACCAAATGGCAGGCAAAAAACTATGAAAGCCCATTTCCGCCACTGAATAAAAAATAAAAAAGGTAATTTAAACTCGCAATTCTGAGAAATAAAGTCACAATTCTGAGAAATAAAGTCAGAATTGCGACTGTAATTTTTTCCCTCAGAATTGAGTTTATATCTTGCAGTTCTGACTTTTATAACACAAATTATTGCGCGAGATATAAACTCAATTCTGCAAAAATATCAGTCTTTTCTCCCCTCAGAATTTGACTTTGACTTGCAATTGTGAGTTTATATCACACAATTCTGAAAAAAAATTTGCAATTGCGAGAAAAAAGTCAGAACTACAAGATACAAACTTTTTCTGAGGAAAAAAAGTCAGAATTGCACGTTTATTCTGACTTTATTTATTGCAAATGTTAGTTTATTTCACAATTTTCTCAGAACTCTCAATTCTGACTTTTTTTCCTCAGAATTGTGAGGAAAAAATGTCAGAATTGCAAGTTTATATCATGCAATTCTGAGGAAAAAAATCAGAATTGCGAGTTTATATCATGCAATTCTGAGAAAAAAGGCAGAATTGTGAGATGTAAACTCACAATTGCTAGAAAAAAAGGTGAGATAAAAAAAAAAAAAAATGTATTCAGTATAACATCATAAAAATGTAGTACGCCCGGATTCCATTCTTGCTACACACATTCATACTATATGGAACATACTTTTTTTAAATAATTGCTAAATAATTACTTTTTCAAAAGAAGTACCTACTCAGATTATGCACTTTCAGAAGCAGCCATGATGTAGCCAAACCTCTGACAGGCACAGTAAGTCTGAACCAACAGTTCAGCTCATTCTGGCCAGGAACCGCTCAGTCAGCCAATAAAACAATTCTGACTGATCGTGGCAAATGAATAAGAAACTAGAGTACAAAGCAGACTATAAGCATTTTACCAATAGACATTACTTCCAGTATCCAGTCAGTTTACTGCCTTTGTCATATGTCCCCACAACCGCACTCTGGATATTGGTTTTCTGAAAAGCATGCACACCACATCTGAGAAACAGCATATATAACACAAAACGGTGACAGTTTATCACTAGAAACAATGAACCACATGCTGACAGAAAATAAAACACATGCCTATTGTCATGACATTATTATTCTTGTTTGCAAAAAACATTTATCGACATACACATGGACCATGCTAACCAGCAAAATCTGACCCCTTGGGCTCTGCAAGCATTTTTACAATCTATTCAAAGATCAAGAATCATTACAACCATTAATTATCCAAATATTAGAGAAATCAAGAAAATATTTTAATGGTGTGGCAGGAGTTAAGCCTTAAAACCTAGAAAAACATTATTTGCAAAAAGATCCAAACACAGGAAGAGAC